CAGCCATATAAGCCGGTAGCAGACAAAGCAGAGGAAAAAAAAGATTAAGAGTATAAAATGGTGTCGTAACTTTGGGCAGGTTGACTCATCCATAAGTTGGGTAGTCAGTCCTATGTCCTTGATGCCACAAAAGCAGAGAATTATATAAAGCTTGGATATTTTCCCCTTTCTAAACATAACTGGCGTCTGAGTGGGGATCCTCATGAGTTGAGGTGATCTGACCACTCGTCTGAAAGAAGAAATCGGTTGTGAAACTTATTTATCTGATGTAGTTGTGTTGCGGAGGCCGGACGAACGCATAAGTTGCGGGTTGTTCGGTCACACGTGCTTGTTGTTGTTTTAGGCAGGGCTAGACTATCCATCAGTTGGGTAGCCTAGTCATATGCTATATGTCACTGTATGGGCTGACCAGGCACAACATAAGTTGTTGTGTCTGGTCATATGCCTTTTGTCATTGTTCAGGCATAGGCTGAGTCCCTTATAAGTTGAGGTGGTTCAGTCTTTTGTGTATGCGGAGTGTTTAGGTTGATCAGGTCTCACCATGAGTTGGTGCGCCCTGGTTATACGCCTTATGTCATTTGTTCAGACAGAGGCTTATAACAACATAAGTTGTTGTGGTAAGTTATAGGCCTTATGTCCATAAAGTTGAACATGGTTGTATTGCGAAGGGCTGGGCGAACGCATAAGTTGCGGGTTGTTCAGTCATTCGCGCAAGTGGCTTTGTCTAGGCTGGGTTGGACTATCCATAAGTTGGGTAGCCTGGCTGTACGCCGTGTGTAACTGTTTGGGCTGATCGGGCACAACATAAGTTGTTGTGTCCAGTCATATGCCTTTTGTCGTTGGTTAGGCAAAGGCTGACCTCCATAAGTTGGGAGGTTCAGTTCTATGTGTATGCCGAATGTTCAGGCTGACCAGCCTCACCATGAGTTGGTGCGGCCCGATCAAACGCCTTATGTCGGTTGTTTTGCAGAAATTTGTTACACCATGAGTTGGTATGGTTTGGTCTTATGCGTACGTATATTTGTGTTACCAGGCTAGGGCACCATAAGTTGGTGTGGCCTAGTCATATAAACTGGCAGGTCAGTCACATCCATAAGTTGGGTTGGTTGACCCTATGTCTTATGTAAGGAAGGGTAAAAAAGGAATAATGAGGGTTTCTGAACGAACTATGTGGCCTGGAAAAGAACCATGTGGGATTGTGAGAGATATTTGTGCTTGCATGCTCGTGGACTCTCACTTGGGACCTCTTTTGATGGAGTAGTTGTTGTAGATGCTCGCCGAGTGCTGGAGCCATAGGTAGGTAAGATGAATGATGGGAGGGAAGCTTGGGATGAGATAGGACTGACTCTGCTGGGGGTTGGGATCAGCGTTAGCTCATGGCCTTATTCAGAGGGCATGTGGACCAATATTGAGCCTAAGTTGTCAAGCAGGGATCAGGAGTTAGCCCCAAGCATAGTTTTGCTTTCCACTTTGACTTTCAGCTTTGTATAAATCTTGGCAGCCTACTTTTCCTACGGGAAGCGCTGCCGAAATTTCTGCAGAACTGAAAAGAGTTAGTCATATTCAGGTTCCTAGAAATTCTGAAAAGGCATTTTTCCTACGGGAAACGCTGCCGAAATTTTGGGAAATTTGAAGAGTTAGAATATTTTCAGTTAGACCAATCTTAGCAACTCAACCCTGAGTAGGGGAGGTGTTATTGAACCTCTCAGAAGCTGAGTAGGAGCTTAGTAGAGGAKTTAGGATGTGACTTAGGAGGATTACTCCCCCTTCTTAGGCTAAATACTGTAGTGGAATCTCTTTGACCTGTGCTGTGGTGCAGACTGTGCATATTGATTGAAGGTCTGACTTGGTCAGCCTGACTATTCTTCTGTTATCACTTAAAACAGGTCGGTTGCAGATTCGTCGGTGCACGACTCAACCTCTCATCCTTTTCTGCCTCTCAACCTAAGGCCTTGGCCCTGGCTGGTTTTATGTTTTCTTGGGTTTTCTCCCAGATTCTTTGTAAATGATCATTTTCTTAAAAGACTGAGTATCTTTGTTTGAAATGGTGGGGAAAAGGTTGGGTTTGTGTGCATAACGCAGGTGTGAGTTGCAGAAGGCTGAAAAGTTGATCCTTTTAGTGTGTGTTCTGTTGTTTGATCCTTGTGTGTATTCACAGGTATGTGTGAAACATGTTGAATGATTGTGGTATTCTGGCTGTATTGAGTTCAGGCGGGCAAGCCACATAACTATTGTGAGACTGTATCATCACTTAACTCTTCGTCTGACTAAGTGTTATGGCATTTGAGTATGTCCCTTGCGTAGCCCTCACACGGCTGCACGAGCACGTACTTATGCCTTCCATATTCTTGCGTGATTTCGGTTGGTGGGACGATAAGGGTCCAGGCGTGAGCCAAAATATCACAAAAACGACGCGTAAAAAAGGTCATAAGGTCGGTCCGCCCTATGGGAACCCCGCGCTCGACCGAGGAAATGTTCCGAGCGCTGGGCTGCCTAAAGGGCTTGACCTGAACACTATCCACACGCCACCCCATAAACGATTCGTTAGGTGGTGCGCGGTGAGTCATGGGCCAAGGCGAAATAGGGAAAAGGCATAACCTTTTTCCCCATTTTCGCGTTCGCCCCACTTACTTGTTAAGTTGAAAAGCCGGACGTATTCCTGGGCCAGGGGTTCGAGGTCCTTGTCGGGAAAAAACCAAAGTCCAACCCTCTAGCAAGGGATTTTTGCCTGCGCACAGGGCATAAAAACCCTGCCCACCGAACCGCCTAGCTTCAAGGCTAGGGGTGCCGCAGGGGCTGAATGGCGTGTCCTTCAAGCCGTTCAATATTGCGAGGGGTGAACCCCCACGATATATTCCTTCAGCCATTCAGTATCGCGAGGATATTTCAGCGATCGCTTAAGTGCGACAACATTGCTGGTCGGTATGGGAAGGCCGAGGACCCGCACGGATTATATCGAATCCGGCACGCGGCGCCAAGCGGATTCTCACACCGAGCCCGAACATACGACGCATTGAGCGTCGACTCGCTCAAGGGCATGAGTCAAGCCTTAGGAACACGCAACTCCGTAGCAACTCACCACATCGCATCGAGAAAGCTATTGGGGAGGCATAGGGGCTCAATATGGGTTAGACTATGTCGACACCTTTATATCGAGCCTTGTCCTTTTTCTATTTTCTTATGGTTGGACGTTGTAGTCCGTGGCAGTCGTCAAAGTCAAACCTCTGACTTCTGCCACCACAGGCGTGAAACCTGTGTACCACCCACTCTGCACAGGGTGCAGAAGAGGGTGTGTGGCCTTTAACAGCGCATGGCGGTTGTCTAGCGCAGAAAGATTAACCCTTGAAGCGCTTGTCAGCTAACACTTGAGTGTCGAAAGGGACCCTCAAAATCCCTGAGGGCCTCCTGGACCTGGGTACCACATAGTACCCCATTATTGCAAACACTTGTAAGCGCACGCATGACTCGCTGGTATAAGAAATTCGTGCGATCTCGCGATTCTTTATACTAAATCAGCATGCGACGCCTACCTAATTTTTGTACCAAAAGGTTATGGGTCCAGTACTAAAGGGACTGGGAGTGTTGTGTTTTTCTTTTACTTTGGTGCATGAGTGTGTGAACGTGGGTTACTTAAATTTTGCTTTGAGTGGTGTATCGCGTGGTGTGCGTAGAGCGTCCTAGTCGACCGACGTCAAGTCGAGCTTGGGACCTCAGCCCCCCAGTGTCGTCGATTTGCGTACGGATCCGATTTCGGGCGTTGACCGCACGTACCCTATGCTACAGGGAACGAGAAAAGCCCTCGGTTGGGCCACCTCTGCAATTGCATTATAAAAGCCTTTGCATGTGGTTCAGCAGCTCGGCAGGGATACGCCCACCTAAGGGATGGTGACAGCTCCCGCAAGTGGAGATAGCGGTGCCTCGCGTGACTCTGTCCTGTCGTAGGGACTCGCGAGAGGTACGGCTGGCGCACTCGGCCGGAGCGGCAAACGCTCTCCGCAACAAGTCCTGCATAATCCTGCGTGACGTGGCCGGGAGGATCCCCGTGCGGGATCGATGCGCTCGACAATGTGGTCGACGACTACAGTGCCCGTTAACCAAGTTGCGCGGCGGGAGCAGGCGACGGCACAACAGCGCGCGAAAGGCAGAGAAGAGCGCGGCGAGAAAGCAGTCCACTGCAGTGCTCGCAATCCATGCGCGCGCTCGAAATGCGTTTGGGGATGAGTGGCCCGTGCTCGTGATTTATTAAGCGCGGTGGACGGTGGCTGGGAGTGATACCACGGCGACCTTTCGATGAAAGTGCGACGAGTACTCTCGCCAAACGACGATGGTCTGGAGCACATTGTCGACGGGGAGTGGGAGTGTGATGTGACACCCTCCGTCCACGCAGGCTTGAAAAAAATGGATATCCCCGTGGACAATCGAAAGGGACCCTGCCCCCC